AAAGACACAGGAAAGTGCAGAGAAGAATGTGACAATGTGAGGTGAGAGTTTCTTACCTTGTGGTCAAAGCCGCTCATCAAGACAGATGACCTGGCCAGCTCACACATGTCACAGGTGCTGAACTTCCACACCTGCGCAGCAATGCTGTACTCCTCCATTAGAGCTTCCTGGAGAAAAGGAGTCAAGTCAACACTCAGTACAAATATACTCAACATTGATTACAAAATTCATCTCCTCAGAAGGCAAAGTGACGGTCAGTCCCACCTTTGTGAAGTGGAACTGCAGGGGGTCATCAGTAGACAGGGAGATGACCAGGCCCCTGGCGTGATAGTCCGGCAGTGGGTTGCGGTGATAGTCCAGGAACAGGTGGTTGTTACTGAGTGGTGACATGGCAATGCCGATCTGGGCCAGATAGTACAGGTACTGTAGGACTGGAACCTGCAATCAAACAACAGTGTGGTGTGAGCATATGGCAATATTTTCCATTTCTTCATGTGTGCCAGAAATGTTTCAAAAGTTGTCACATTATTGTCACCATCATACTTAATTCTTTTTTCTATTACAATTCGCTTGGAAATGTCTATGATTGCCAACTATGCAAGAGCATGAGATAATCTGAGGTTCCATCAATACTGCCACACACCTTTCTGAGTAGCAGGCCATGTGAGATGTTCTCTGCCACCATGAAGGCAGACACCAGATGATGCACAGGCCCCGCCTCTCCACAATGTGGCCGCAGCACAAATATGTTCATACCCCGCTCCCTAGGCACAACACAAAAGGAACAAGGTTGCGATCAAATTCTCAAGACTGTTTCTTGCTATTAAATCTTCAGACCTTCTTTTTTTTTAGACTAGACTTGTACTATAAGCTTTTCCTTTCAGCTTCAAACAATTACGAATGAAAAGGATTCTCAAACACTTGTGAAAGTGATCTCGGTCCAGTTTTAGCAAACTGAACAGCTAATCTCCTACTGGTTGTGACAAAGAAGGCAGACACTATGTACAGTATTTACAGGTTCATTGTACCAGGGAAATTCCCCTAGCTCATTTTCGACAAGCACAATGAACAGTGGACCACAGTTAAACGTCCCATCCTAGGGACTGCAACCCTTTCCAGTAGCGTGCATGTCAGGTGAGCGACAACAGCCAGGATTCAAACTCCCAACCTCTTGGTCCAGCTAGAGGCAGGGTCGCTAATCACTGGACTAGACATGCTACTACTGACAGGAGAGAGAAAAGAGAATGTTACCTCCGTAGGTGGTTGAGGATGACCATGTTGGCGTACATGTAGTAGAGGTAGTAAGAATACGGCGGGTTCTCCTCATCAGTCCACTCTGCAGGCAGGGGACTGTCC